TACTCCATTCAGGAGTGCATATGAGCTATTTGGGTCCTTGCAAGCATTTAGAGAAATCTGTATAAAAAATAAAGCAAAATTAATGAATTTTATGAGAGCCAGTTTGGCGTAATGGTTAAGGCACCAGGATAGAAACTGTGAATTCTAGTCCCACCATAAATACAAATGAATGACCTTGGGCCAGTCACTCTTTCTTAGCCCAAGTAAGGAGGCCACTTTTGAAAAATCTTCTCAAGAAAACTGCAGGGACTAGTTCAGACAGTCAGTAGGTGTCAACACTGAAGGCGCACACACAAACACACACACACACACACACACACACACACACTACCATACACACAAAATCTCATATCTTAATAATAGGCAAAGAGGCAAAAATACTTTTTTGCATTTAGTATCAGCACAAATGGTATATGGAATATGCTCACCTAGTCAAAAAATGCGAGTCACCCTTAAAATTAATTTGGTTTTAAATGGGTAAATGGAAAAGGGTCATAGCTTTATTAGGATCAGCCAAAAGACATGAAAATATATCCAGTTCTGATTCCCTTTGCATACTTTTTGTGTCATTTATATAACATGGATTTTGGATCCCCGCCCCCGGAGATTTTTTTAAATCTAATGTACACACATCATATTTTTCTCTGTAATATTGTTTCTCATTGTTTTTAATATATTCATCCTAGGGTCTTTAGGAAATTGGACAGTGTTAACAATGTTTGTGTTTGACAAACATTTTAAAGTTTGTTTAAATCAACTTGGCCAATGGAAATAAGGAGAAACATTACAGTATTGGCAATAGTGGGGGGGGGAATAAAACAAATTAAAATATTATAATGTTATATTATAATACATGATATGAGAATATTATAATATTGCAATATTTCTCATATCACATTGGAGAAAATAAAGAGGAACTTCACTCCCGCTGTCATCCAAAAATTCTGTAGACTGTCCCTGAAATTACTATGTCAAGACACTAAATATCTTGATCCCTGATGTATACATTTTAACAGTAGGATCTGGAAACCCAGATCAGTAGTTTAAATCAGTAGTTAGCTATAGAAACTCACTGGAATATATTTCTTTCAGTCCAGCTGAACTCAAGGAATGTGGAAATGTATATTGACTTGAGCTCTTGGAGGAAAGGCAGGATATGAATCTAACAACAAATAAAATTATGGAGGACTGAAGGCTAGTGGGTCAGGTCACTCTCACTCATAAAGTCATAAAAAGTGATTGCTAAACAGGAAAAAAACCGTGGGCAGATTCTAGGGAAGGGAACTGAAAACAAGAGAATGTCATATGCATCGCTGAGTCAGCACCAGCTTAATATTATTAGAAAGAATTCTTTGAAAAACTTTTGTTTAAGGGAGGAGATATACCCTGCTAATTGAAAAAGGCAACATGTATCTAAGACAGGGGTCTCCAACCTCGGCAACTTTAAGCCTGGAGGACTTCAACTCCCAGAATTCTTGCCGAGGTTGGAGACCTCTGATCTAAGATATTCAACACCACTGACAATGCTGCTACTCTACAAAAAGACTTTGACTATGTGTCAGAATGGTCAAACAATTGGCAACTCGAAATCTCAACCAACAAATGCTCTGTCTTACAAATTGGCAAAAAAAATCAGAACACAAAATGCAAGCTGGATGGATACAACCTAACAGACGACCCTCACTCTGTCAAAGACCTTGGAGTACTCATCTCAAAGGATCTAAATGCCAGAGCTCACTGTAACAAAGCATTGCTAAAGAAGCATTAAGAGTTGTTAACCTAATCTTGCGTAGCTTCTTCTCCGGTAATATTGAACTGCAAACTAGGGCATACAAAACTTTTGCCAGACCAATTCTTGAATACAGCTCATCTGTCTGGAACCCGCACTGCATATCAGACATTAATACAATTGAACGAGTCCAGAGATATTTCACAAGAAGAGTCCTCCACTCCTCTGCTCACAACAAAATACCTTATGCCACCAGACTCGAAATTTTGGGCTTAGACAACTTAGAACTTCACCGTCTTCGGTCTGACTTAAGCATAGTACATAAAATCATCTGCTACAATGTCCTACCAGCCAATGAATACTTCAGCTTCAACCAAAAAAATACAAGAGCACACAATAGATACAAACTCATGGTAAACTGATCCAAATTAGACTGCAAAAAATACGACTTCAGTAACAGAGTGGTCAACGCCTGGAATGCATTACCTGACTCTGTGGTTTCTTCCCCAAACCCCCAAAACTTTAACCTTAGACTGTCTACTGTAGACCTGACCCCATTCCTAAGAGGTCTGTAAGGGATGTGCATAAGCGCACCAACGTGCCTACCATCCCTGTCCTAATCTTTTCTTTTATTCGTATCCTTTTCATGTATTTATAATTACGTTTACACTTGCATAAAATACATCTTGATAAAATAAAATAAATTTAATAAATAAATAAATAAATATTGGATTCAAAGAAGCATATAGCCAAGGAAAAAGGCTTTGTCCTAATTCTAGGCGCAATCTAAGTTTAACAGAGAATACTTGCGGAGTGTTGCTCAATCTATGTTTTGTGATAAATCACAATGTGGGTGTTTTTTGCTTTGTTTTGGTTTTTTGACATAGCATAACGTGTGAGTAATCTTGGGAGAGATTATATGCCCTCCCCCAAATGGCTAATCAGTCTATTAATAGAAGCTAAAAAGGAAAAAGGAAAATAAACCAGCAAGTCATTGGTGGCCTCCAAGAGTGGCTTTGGTTTTGTCCAACAAATCAACATTAAAGGAACTCCTAGGTTAATGTAATTTGCAACTGAAGCCTTGATAATATTATTGAGGATAACTGGCATGGAGTTTTCCCACTTCAGTGTTAAGGATTACCCATAAAGATCTGATCCCAAATTCAAGCTGCTGAACTGGTTTTCAGAAAAGAGGAAAAAAATTGGAAAAAAAAATGTGATCTTCTCCAGACTGCATTTAGTTTAGCTGGGAAGAAGAACTTCTGAACTTTATTTGAAGAGTTAGGCAATTTCCCCCCCAAGAGATGTATTTACATTTTCCTCATTGTTACATAATCAGCTCACCAAGCTTGTTACCACAATGCAGTAAAGTCATCAGGGAGAATGGAATCAAATTGTATCTGGCTCTTGTGATTTCCCATACCTTTTTTTAGATTTAAATGTTAGCCAAGCAACAACAATAAAACATAATGCAAAACTTTGCAGCATTGAAAACAGTAAAGTTTGCTACCAAATCAGTGGTTTAATTCTGGGGAAGAAATGTGACATAGGGACTGTGGGTTACTCACCTCTGATTTTTTTTAAAAAGACTGGAAAATGTGGGTGTAATTACCTAGCAATGAAGAAAAGAGGGTTTGCTGTCTTCTGTAGAAAACACATGGAAGCAGTTAGAATACAGGTAGTCTTTGACTTGAAATCACAACGGAGGCCAAAATTTCTGTTGCAAAGCGAGACAGTTGTTAACTGAATTTTGCTCCATTTTACGGCCTTCCGCATTGATTTTGCTTGTTAGAAGGCCGGAAAAAGTGATCACCTCGGGAAACTGCAACTGTCATAAATGTGAGTCAGTTCCCAAGCGTCTGAATTTTGATCATGTGACCATGGGGATGCTGCAATGGTCGTAAGTGTGAAAATATGGTCATAAGTAACTTTTTTCAGAGCCATTGTAAGTTCAAATGGCCACTAAATGAACTGTTGTAAGTTGAAGACTATCTGCAAATGTATGTCCATCTAGCTCAGGAGTATCAAACTCAAGGCTCGCGAGCTGAATCCGGTCCACAAGATGTTTAAATCTGGCCCGCAGGGCTGTCCTGGAAATAGCAAAGGACTGGCCCATGGTGCCCCTTGCAGCCAAAACAGGGCACGGGCGTGCAAGGCCCCCCTGCACCCTGTTTTGGCCAGTAAAGTGCTGCAGGAGGATGTCCAGGCCAAAAACAGGGCGCAGAGGAGGTTGCGCAGCCCCTCTGCACCCCATTTTGGCTGGCAAAGTGCTGCAGGTATCCGTCCCATCTCCTCCCCCACATCCAGCCCGTGGAGGAGAACTACAATGCTGATCTGGCCCTCGAAGAAATCCAGTTTGACACCTCTGATCTAGCTAATAACTTGCTGTTCAATTAGTAACTTCTTTTACCCTGCAGGGCAGAGAGGGCATTTATATCTGAAAGGACCTTTCATGGACTATGAATGTTAACATGCTTGTGAAGAAGGCACAGAAGAGGCTGTACTTCCTGAGAATGTTCAGGAAGATAAATCTATCTCAGCATCTATTTCTGTCCTACTATCACAGCACCATTGAGAGTGTCCTGACATACGGCATTCTTGCATGGTATGGGAGCAGCTCTGTAGCGTACAAAAAAGCTCTACAGAGAATCATTAAAATTGCCCAGAATATCATCGGGCTCCAGCTACCAGCCCTCTTCGAATTTTGCTGTTTGAGGAAGTTGCATAACATTCTCAGAGACTCTTCCCATCCTGCTTACAATCTTTTTGGACTGTTGCCTTCTGGCAGAAGATGCAGAACAATTAAAACTTGGACCACAAGTTTTCTGAATAGTTTTTATCCGAGAGCTATAATTGCATTAAACAATGAACTAATGGGCCACCATCAGTGAGCTGTTGGACAGCATTACTTGGTCTGTTGTGTGGATGTTTGGGTGGTTTAGGGGTGGGGAATTTATGGTGGGTAGGAGTGTGTTTGGGGATGGTTATGTGTGTTGGACCTGGTCTTTGGGTGTTAAGTGAATTTCGTTGTATGGGTATACTGTGTATACACGTACAATGACAATAAAGTTATTATTATTATTGTGTCACAAAATCCGGAGTATAGCAGTCAACTTTTCTAATTATCACATTTTATGAAAAAGCGTAAACATCCATGAACTGCAGCTCACTTCATCGATTCCATATGTTTATAGTTTTAAATATTTTCATAGTTGGAAATAGTACTACCAGGCTCCTTGATTTTTAATGTCTTTTACAATATGCTTTACAGAGACGCACAGACTTTCTCCAGCTTATGCTTGATGCTCGGATCCCAACCACTGACATTGTCATGGAGCAGTCAGACAGAGTCAGTCAAGATGATTTCCCTGAAGCTCTGCCCAAAAAGCAGCAGAAGTGGTTGAGTGATGATGAGATAGCTGGACAAGCCACCTTGTTCCTAATTGCTGGCTATGAAACCAGCAACAGCACACTTTCCTTTGGCACTTACCTGCTGGCTACCAACCCCCAATGCCAGGAGAAGCTGTTGCAAGAGGTAGATGACTTCTTTTCAAAACATGTAAGTAGGCATCCTGACCGCCATTCTCATTTTAGACAATGGGTGAGTGGTGAAAGAGAGAGAGAGAGAGATGCCCTTGATAAAGTGAGACAAACAGGATGGTTTAAAATGTGGGTTACATTTGTCCTGCATGACGAACAAAATGCATATTTCAGTCAAAATCAAGCCATCTTGATGAGGGCAAATTCATGCCCCATCTGTGATCTTTATTGTGAACAAAGCAATACAGACGGATCAGTTCCAGATGGAAGGTCAGTGCAATTTATCTCTGTGAATGGAGAAGATGCTTTATAATATTTTCACAGGCCAGAAGTGTCTGTCAGTGCATGCATTCTGTTGCAAATGCATAAACACTGTTCCATTGATCTGTTTGCTCTATCAACTGGCTAGGAGCACTTCTCCATACTTTTAGACAAAAAAACCTTCTCAGTTCTTTTAATGGATTCCAAATATTAAACTTGGGAGTCTTTTGCATCAGTGTATACTCTGCCAGTGAACTGAAATACATAATCTGGCCCTGAATTTTCAGTTTTTCCCAGATTTCCGAGATTTACTTATTTACTTATTGCTATTTTAAGGGGTCGTAGGATTCTGGCTGTCATTTCCAACACCCCTTTTGTGTCAGAAATGACAGCCAGAATCCTCCAACTCCTAGGAATAGCAATAGCTCACAAACCCACAGCCACACTCTGCCAGGAATTATCCAGAACCAAAGACAAGATATTGAAGTATGAAAGAAACAATGTAATTTACAGAATCAACTGTAACAATTGCAACCAATTCTACATGGGACAAACATCACATCAGTTAAAAACCAGGATCCACAAACACCAGCTGGCAGTCAAACACCACGATCCCAAATCCTTAATCTCTCAACACCAAACAGCACCAGTTCGATTGGAGCAACACAAAAATCATCAGCCACAGTACCACCCGCCATGCTCGTGAGTTCACCGTAGCCTGGCACTCCACAAGCAATTCCATCAATAGACACATTGACCTACAACCATCCTATAAACACCTCAGAATCCAAATCAACTGCACAGTCAACCAGAGATAGCACCGACCTTCAACCAACCCACACAACTTCCCCCCCACCAGCAGTTCATCTCCCAAGGACCCTGACTTGATGTAACCTATCACAAGACCTGTCACAAGACTCTCACTGATGACTTATACATGACCCATCATAAGACCCATCACAAGACCCTCACCTGACACACCCACACCTGAAGCTATAAACAGAAGCTTCTTATAAACAGAAGAACACTGACATCCCCTAACTCAGGGGTGAAATCCAGCAGGTTCTGACAGGTTCTGGAGAACCTGTAGCAGAAATTTTGAGCAGTTCGGAGAACCGGTAGCGGAAATTTTGAGTAGTTTGGAGAACTGGCAAATACCACCTCTGGCTGGCTTCTGGGGTGGGAATGAAGATTTTGCAATATCCTTCCCCCAGGAGTGGGGAGGGAATGGGGATTTTGCAGTATCCTCCCCCTGGAGTAGGGTGGGAATCAGAGGTGGGTTTCAGCAGGTTCTGACCAGTTCTGGTAGCAGAAATTTTGAGTAATTCAGAGAACCGGTAGTAAAAATTCTGACTGGCCCCGCCCCCATCTATTCTCTGCCTCCCAAGTCCCAGCTGATTGGGAGGAAATGGGGATTTTGCAGTAACCTTCCCCTGGAGTGGGGAGGGAATGGAGATTTTACAGTATCCTTCCCCTGCCATGCCCACCAAGCCACGCCCACAGAACCATAGTAAAAAAAAATTGGATTTCACCACTGTCCTAACTCCACTGAAGATGTAATCTAGCCTGGTAGTGAAATGTTCGAAAACCAACCCACAAGTTCAGAGGTTGAAGCTTCACCCATATCCTATACTTGAGCTACAGATATTTGCCATTCTTGCAAGTCATTTCTAATATCATAAAAGGAGGAAAAAAATACCCAATGCTTTACTTTATTGACTATCCATTAACCCATATCAGGTATAATGTATAAAATTCAGAACTATAATAAGACCATGTGTTACAAAAAGATAGAACTAAAAGGAAATGCAAATCAAATTTCTATATTATCCCTACACTTTAGCCCCATCATATCCACATATGTAGTTCTGTACTATTTGATTCAGATAAAGGGCCATATTATATGCAATATTTGGCAGCAAAAGATTTAAAAGGGATTTGATTGTAATTAAATGTAAAGGCAAAGGAAATAACCATTTCTTTTATTGTCCCAAAGATGCTTTTTCAAGAGGCAACTGGACTTTCTTTGTTTTTCCTTGAAGACGTTTCACTTCTCATCCAAGAAGAACTTGGATGAGAAGTGAAACCTCTTCAAGGAAAAACAAAAGAAAATCTAGTTGCCTCTTGAAAAAGCACCTTTGGGACAACCATGACCAGGATGACTGAGAATCTCCATAGACTTTTCTTTTGTTTATTCATTTATTTATTTATTTATTGAATTTCTATACCGCCCTACTCCCGAAGGACTCAGGGCGGTGAACAGCCATGGAATAAAACACATACATATACAAAATTTAAAATCAAATAAAATGAATTAAATAAATTTGGCTAAATTAAAACCCATAATTTAAAATACCCATATTTTAAAACACATTAAAATTTAAAATTTGCACTTAAAAGGGAGAAGATTTAGGCGAGGCCAGCTTGATGAAATAAAAGAGTCTTCAACTCACGGCGGAAGGTGCGCAGATCTGGAATCCTCCGTATCTCTGGGGGGAGCTCGTTCCAGATCGTCGGTGCCCCCACAGAGAAGGCTCTCCCCCTAGGGGCCGACAGCCGACATTGTTTGGCCGACGGCACCTGGAGGAGCCCCTCTCTGTGGGAGCATACTGGACGGTGGGAGGCTATTGATGGTAGTAGGCGGTCCCGTAAGTAACCAGGTCCTAAGCCATGGAGCGCTTTAAAGGTGGTAACCAGAACCTTGAAGCGCACTCGGAAGACCACCGGGAGCCAGTGCAGCTTGCGCAGGAGAGGTGTTACATGGGAGCTCCACGCCGCTCTCATAACCACCCTCGCGGCCGTATGCTGCGCCAGTTGGAGCCTCCGGGTGCACCTCAAGGGGAGCCCCATGTAGAGAGCGTTACAATAGTCCAGACGAGAGGTGACGAGGGCATGGGTGACTGTGCGTAGTGAGTCCCGATCTAGAAAGGGACGCAACTGGCGAATCAGGCGAACCTGATGAAAAATCCTCCCCGTCACGGCCGTCAAGTGCTCTTCTAAAGACAGCCGTAAATCCAGGAGGACACCCAAGTTACGAACCCTTTCCGTGGGGGCCAATGATTCGCCCCCAATAGCCAGCGATGGCGCCAGCTGACTATATCGGGACATCGGAAACCACAGCCACTCGGTCTTGGATGGGTTGAGCCTGAGCCCATTTCTCCCCATCCAGATCCGTACGGCCTCCAGGCACTGGGACATCACTTCAAGGGCATCGTTGGGGTGGTCCGGGGTGGAGATGTACAGCTGGGTGTCATCAGCGTACAGATGGTACTTCACCCTGAAACCACGGATGATCTCGCCCAGCGGCTTCACATAAATGTTGAACATAGGGGGCGAGAGAACCGATCCCTGCGGCACCCCACATATAAGGGGCCTCGGGGTCGATCTCTGCCCCCCTGTCAACACAGACTGCGACCGGCCAGAGAGAAAGGAGGAGAACCACCGTAAAACGGTGCCTCCCACCCCCAACCCTTCCAGCCGGTGCAGCATGATACCATGGTCGATGGTATCAAAAGCCGCTGAGAGATCTAACAGGACCAGGACAGAGGAACAACCCCTGTCCCGAGCCCTCCAGAGATCATCAACCAACATGACCAATGCCGTTTCCATGCTGTACCCAGGCCTGAAGCCCAACTGGAACGGATCCAGATACGACGCTTCATCCAGGTACTGGGGAAGCTGTCGCGCAACCACACTCTCAACAACCTTCGCAACGAAGCAAAGGTTGGAGACTGGACAATAATTAGCCAATACTGCCGGGTCCAGGGAAGGCTTCTTGAGGAGGGGCCTTACCACCGCCTCTTTCAGGGCGGCGGGGAAGACACCCTCACCCAACGAAGTATTTATAATCCCCTGGAGCCAGCCTCGCGTCACCTCCCGGGAAGCCAGCACTAACCAGGAGGGGCACGGGTCCAACAAACATGTGGTCGCATTCAATCTACCCAGAATCCTGTCCACGTCATCTGGGGTCACAGGGTCAAACTCATCCCAGATAACAGTCTCAAGACCTGCCTCCGTCACCCTCGCTGGATCTATCCAGTCAGAGTCCAGACCTGCCCGAATCTGAGTGATTTTGTCATGCAGATATTGAACAAAGTCCTCGGCTCTTCCCTCCAAAGGGTCCTCCCGTGCTTCCTGGTGGAGCAGGGAGCGGGTCACCCTAAACAGGGCGGCCGGACGATTATCTGATGACGCAATAAGAGCAGCAAAACAAGTGCATTTTGCTGCTTTTATCGCCACTAGGTAACTCCTAATATGAGATCTTACCAGTGTTCGGTCAGATTCAGAAAGATTAGCCCTCCAACAGCTCTCTAGGCGTCTTTTCCGGCGCTTCATCTCCCTCAGCTCCTCGGTAAACCAAGGAGCCAGGCGAGATCGGCGCCGGGTCAGAGGCCGCAAAGGCACGACTCGGTCCAGGGCTCCAGCAGCCGCCCTATCCCAGGCGGCCACTAGGTCTCCAGACGAGGCATGAGCCAGAACCTCCGGGATTGACCCAAGCTCCATCTGGAACCTATCAGGTTCCATCAGGCGCCTGGGGCGGTACTATCTTATCGGGTCCGCCTCCCTGCAACGGGGTGCCGCGGTTCGAAGGTCAAGGCAAAGGAGCGAGTGATCTGACCATGACAAGGGCTCGATGACTATATCCCCCATCTCGAGATCACTCAACCACTGTCCAGAGACAAAAACCAAGTCCAGTGTGTTTCCCCCAGTGTGCGTAGGGCCATGAATTAGTTGGGTCAGGTCCATGGCCGTCATGGA